GAGAGAGAGAGAGAGAGAGAGAGAGAGAGAGAGAGATCCAGTTGCATAAAGAAAGCGGGCTGTGAAGGGCTGACAAGACAGCGATTTTATTTTATTTTCATTTTTTTAACTAATCTATATTCTTCTTTCAATCTTCTTTTTACATAAAACTTATCCTCATATATCTCATCCTCTGGCTACTCTATGAACACCAACCAAACGTTGAACTCTCCCCAGCCCTGCGAAATTGCAATTCCACCAACCGGCCTAGCTCAACTGGTACAGCCATGACCACAGTTCGAATCCAGATGGGACTAGTTAATATACGAAATAATTATCATCTTTCAACTGACCCTCGGCCTTGCCCGAAAATTGTTATACTTTTTCAAAAGTATAATGAAAGGTTTGTTCAGCTAAAAATAGTTTTCGTCCGCATTCGAAGATGAGCCTTTACTTACATACTTCATAGGCAGAGCCACCGCCAGAGGGCACGCATCTTGTTATCCACCCAACGGGACTAGGCCTTTATTTACATGCTTCATATGCAGAGGCAACGCCAGAGGGCACACATATTTGTAATCCACCCAACGGGACTAGCTCAATTAGCACACCCCAGACGGGGGTTCAAGTCCAGGTGTAGCTTTTATACGCGTGCATCATCTTCGGAATATCTGATTGAACATGAAGCCATCCCGTCCGATTATCCCCAAGCGTCTGCTCTAGTGGACTGCGTCATTAGCAAAAGTGTCTGCTCATCGACTAGTACCGTCGTCCCCCGAACACAACGCAACCCCATTTAGACGGTATCGGGCTGGAAACATCTCTGGTATAGTATGTATACATTCGTTTTCAGGGTGCGCCATGTTCGAGGAAAGACGGTAGTTGCATAGAATATTGTTAGACCATGCCCTGCGTGGTTGCGCAGCCTGGGGCGTGGGGGCAGGTGTTGTGGACGCGGGAGCAATTGCCTGCGGCAACAGTGCCGTCACACAACATTGGCTGGCTGAAGTGGTTGGCCCTTTTTCTTTCCAGGCTGGGAGGCTAAGTTGTGAAAGTAACCTATACAGCATTCTTCGGAGCCCCGCGGAGGTTGGGTGGCACTTGACCACAAAGGCAGGCGGTGCCAGCAAAAAGAAAACAAACCCCCGGCGTGGTCGCTTTGGCCTCCCATCTATCTATCGATAATAGGCTAATAGCGTCTAGTCTGAGTATTACCCAAGAGATAGATCACTGGATCCCCCGATCGGCATCAAGCAGAGTCTGCTATGTTCGTAGGGGAGGGGACCTGAGGGGAGGCACGGGGGATTGGTCCTGTCTCTTATACACATCTAGATGTGTATAAGAGACAGCGCCTTCTCACGCCTTCAGCCACCCCCACCCTCACAGGTGGCCGCGCCTTCCGGTGCACCCCCTTCTTCCTCTATTCTTCCTTCCATGCAGGCTCGCTTCTCTCGCCCTGCACCCTACCAATCTCCATCCTACCTCCTCCCCATCCCCTCGGTCGCCGCGACCTCTCCTGCCGCTGCTTTCCCCGCCGCTCTACCATGCGGCCCGGGCGTACAGTCAGCTGAGCCTCCTCCTCCTCCAGGACCTGTGCCGACTTATTCCGCCGTAGCGCAATCCCCTGCTTCCGTTCCCCTCGCCGCCAAAACGGTGGCACACCACTCATCCGCTTGTCGGACATTCCCTTGTATGACGGTACAGGCATACCCGCACGCTCCAACTCATAGGCGCCACACCCGACACATGGGTGGGTCACCTCTCCACGCGCCTGCGTGGTGCTCCTTTTGACGCCTGGGAGGATTTCTATGCTTACTCCCTGCGTGAGGGTCGGACTCCGACCTTCATGGATTTCCAGGCGTTCCTCGAGGATCGCTTCGGAACCCGATATGACGTGACTGACGCCTTCGAGTGTATCGTCACTACACGCTGGTCCGGCTCTGGTGGCGCTGCCGGCCTGGATCGCCACATCCAGGTCTTTCAGGACGCCCGCCTCGTTTGTGACGTGGCGTTCCTTCCCGAGGCTGCCCATATTCATCGTTTCTTGGCCAGCCTTCCGCTCGAGTACCGCTCCGAGCTATGGCGGTACGAGTTCACATCGGCCCAACAGACTTACGAAGCCGCCAGGGACCATCAGCGGATGCGAGCCCTTCTTCACCCCGCCTCCTCCTCCCAGCCCCAGCGCACGAGCTACGCCTCATGCTCCTCTCACGACACTTCCCAGCGCCGTTCCCCTTTCCGCGGTCGCCCCCGCCGTTCCACGCAACAGGGCCGCAGCTTCTCGCGCCGCTTCAGCGCGCTGAAGTATGGTGAGCAGGACGCTGTTACCCCACTGTCACCTGAGGGCGACCACAACGACGACCTCGATCTCTGCGAGGCCGTCCACTATCATTTGGAGGACTCTACCCTCCCTGCAGCTGAGCGCCTTCAGCTCGCGCTCTCCGCCCTCTCTCGAGCAGGCAGCCGCCCCGATCGCGCTGGCACATCGCCCCCCGAGGTCCCTCAGGAGGACCTCCCTCAGGGCTTCGTCCCTCCTCGTGGTGTCCTTTCCCCTGAGGAGCGCGCGGCCATTCTGGGCCGGCGTGGGTGTTTGCGTTGCCGCTTGGACGGTCATACCTCCTCGCGGTGCCCTTACACTACCGCCCTCGACCGCCACTACGCTGACCTTTCTCGTCAACGTCGTGCTCAGTCCCCCCCCCGCGCCTCACGTCCCCGCGGCGCCTCCTAGCCACGGTGCAGTATATACCTGCGCCCTCCTCAGTAGTGGGCTTCCCGACATCTTCGTCGTGGTTCGCCCCTCTCGCTACTGGGGTTGAGGTATCGCAGGACTCGATAGAGTGTACTCAGTCCTCTGTCACAGTACCGTCTGCGCCTCCGCAGACCACCGTCTCCCCTCCTTCCCCGCCGCGACTACCGACGCGTCGAGCCATTCGCTCAGCCCGTTGCAGCGAGCAGCTCGCTACTCGGGAGGAAGTTGTGTCCTTTCTTCTGGAATTGAGCATGCTCCAGGCTCCTCGGGAGCGACTCACCCTCCATGTCGCTGCACTGCAGCGCCTTCTCGCCATCCGCTTTAACCCTGATCGCACCCTCCCGATCATCCCAGTACGACTCGGGACCTCCACGAGGGTGTTCTCCGCGCTGTGAGATTATGTTTCTCAGGGCGACTTCATTCACCCACGCGTGGTGAAAGAAGCTCGCTTATCCATGACAGGGTCTCCAACTCCCATTTCCGTTACCCTAGGGGATGACAAGACCCAGCGCTTCTTCAATCAGACGGTCACCGACCTCCCTTTCTTCCTCACTCTCGAGCCAACTGATCGTTCCCCGGCGTCTCGTCGCCACCGCTCCTCTGGACATTTCGATGTGATGAAGACGGGGTACGACTTCATTCTCAGCACTCCGTGGTCTTGTTGGTTCCGCAGCACCGAGGCCGATTGGGCGACCAACACTCTCGTTCTCAAAACGAAGTGTGGACAGACGTATCGCGTACCTTTCATAGGTACCACTGCGATACCACGCCCCGATCCTCCTCCCCCGGAGCCTTCCGTGCCCACACCATCTCCTTCCATCACTGTCACCTCGCTTTGGCAGTTCGCCCACTTCATCCGACGGGACTACGTCACCTTCTTTATGGTGGACGTGATGGATCTCTTACACTATGATCCACCCTGTCCCGACGCCGAGCTCATCCCTCCGGAGCCAGATCCTCCTTCTATCTCCATGGCTCCCATTTCTACTTCCGTCCCTCCGCCGTCCGTCGAGTCCACTCCGTCGTCGCGCGCTGGCGTTGACGCTGAGGAGCTCGCACGTTATACGGCTGACCTGGAGCCCGCAATTCGTGACCTCATCCAGGAGTACCACGACGTTTTTCCATCGTCGTTCTCGTACGCCGGCATCCCACCGATGCGTGACGTCGAGCACTCCATTCAGCTTGTGCCTGACTATCGTGTTCACCACCAGGCACCCTACAGACTCTCGATCCCCGAGGCCACCGAACTCAAGCGTCAGCTTGAGAAGCTCCTTAGACTGGGTTTCATTAAACCTAGCAACTCCTTGTGGGGTGCACCCGTCCTCTTTGCTCGCAAAGCGGATGGAACTCTTCGTCTCTGCATCGACTACCGCGGTCTCAACCGCTACACGGTTAAGAACATCTACCCCATGCCTCGTTCCGATGAGTTGTTCGACCGCCTAGCAGGCAACCGTTTCTTTACGAAGATCGTCTTCGTAGCGGTTACCATAAGATCCGCGTCGCTGCAGCCGACCAGCCGAAGACCGCGTTCCGATCGCGATTCGGCCACTACGAGTTCACGGTGATGCCATTCGGCCTGACCAACACACCCGCTACCTTCCAGAGGGCGATGAACGACATCTTCAGGGACATCCTGGAGCAGTACGTTCTCGTCTACCTCGACGATATCCTGGTCTATAGTCGTACCCTTGAGGAGCACCTCAGACACCTCCGCGACGTCCTTGACCGCTTGCGCAGACATGGCTTCTACGCCAAGCTGAGCAAGTGTCGCTTTGCCCAGCACAAAGTGGATTTCTTGGGACACTACGTGTCTGACCAGGGTCTCCACATGGACGACGCGAAGATCACTACTATTGCGGAGTGGCCCGCCCCCACATCCGCCAAGCAGCTTCGCAACTTCCTAGGCCTGACCAGCTACTATAGTAATTTCATCCGGGGATACGCTAGGTATTCCTACGTCCTTACCTCCACCCTCATCCGGAAGAACCCACCCTGGGCTTGGACACCCCTCCACGAGGACGCCTTTCGCGCCCTCAAGAAGGCGGTGACACGCGCACCAGTTCTTCACCTACCCGATTTCGATCGCCCTTTTATCCTTACCACCGATGCGTCAGACTTTGCTGTAGGAGCAGTGCTTTCTCAGGTCTTCCCCTCCTCTCCTGATTCCTCTCATCCTCATATCCCTCACTTCCCACCACCTACCCCTACCACCGCTTCCCGACTGACGCCTACTCGTCCAGCTACTGACGAGCCTTCTATTGACTATTCTCCTACGATCGCCGAGGACGGCACTGTCGAGTCTCGCTGAGGTGATTGTCCGATAGCCTTCTACTCCCGTCAGCTCCTGCCCGCCGAGAKRAACTACACTGYTGATGAACGTGAGGTTCTCGCAGTAGTTTATGCYGCTCGGCACTRGCGTCACTACCTGCACGGGGCACCGTTCACGGTGCGTACGGACAACTCTGTTGTCCAGGCTTTTCTGACAAAACTGAAGCTCACTCCTCGACAGGCTCGCTGGTGGCGCGACCTATCCGAGTTTAGTTTCACCACTGAGCACATCAAGGGTGAGACTAATCGGGTCGCAGATGCTCTATCTCGGCGCCCTGACCACGACCAGAAGCACATCCAGCTCTCTTCCATCTCGGTCACCTTTGTCCACCACTCAGTGATCGACAAGTTTCGCACTCAGTACTGCCACTGCCCCGACTATCGTGACATCCACGCGACCCTTCGGAGTGGCAAGACCGTCCCGAACTACTCTCTCGGGGACAACGGTCTTGTGTATTGGCACGGTTCACAGGGCACCAGAGAGCCCCGTATTTGCGTTCCCTCCACTGGACAGCTACGTGTCCGAGCAGTAGCAGAGTTCCATGACCAGGCAACCGCCGGTCATATGGGCTTCCACAAGACGTTGGCTCGTGTNAAAAAAAAAAAAAAAAAAAAAAAAAAAAAGAGAAACGTCCAATTAATCGTCGTTGGTTTCTCAGCTCCGTCCTAGGCCACTACTTCCGAAATGTGCACAACGAAAGCGAATCTTCCCTTAGAACATGGAAAGATACACCGGCGTGAGTTTTGTCTTTTGTGCATGTAGAGAGCAGTGGAGCTAGGCACAAAAGACCAAAAAAAAAATCGGCCTCTCCACATGCACAGAACACAAAAATATGGCAATGTATCTTTCCAATGTTCTAGCGGTGGATTCATCCTCATTTTGCACATGTAGTCCTTTTACCCAAACGGGAAACGGACAAACATGCGGACGCCGACCAAGCTGGTTGCCCAACGACCTCCCCAACCCAGCACCGGTCGTTGAGCCTCTGAGCTCTGGGACCGACCGCACCCTTCCAGCACCCCTGTTCACGCCCTATAGACCCCGGTTGACGGTCGTCGACTTTCCCGAAAGGGAAAGTTTTTGCTAAACGACAAAAGGCGACGGGGTAAAGCGCAGCCTATGGCTGCGAATTAGCATCTAGATGCAATCTGAATTCAACTGAGCCAGGGCGAGTTGTTACTTCTCACAGTTTGGATCCCACTTAGGTCGTACATTTTCCTCTCTGTTCAAAACTCGAGGCTGTATTCCCGTGGTTCAGGGGTATACCAACTGAGCCCGACCTGTTAGGTGTCTTTTTGTTTTAGGTTAAAGAGTTATTCTCACTCATGATGTGACTCATCTGATCGCACGTCGAATCGAACTTCGGTCTGTATTTCATCATTTCATGGGTGTACCAACTGAGCAGGCAAGCCGGTTCTTTTCAGAGTGGGTCCACCCAGGCTTGTAGCTTGTTACACTCTACGACTGTAAAATGCGTAGGGACCAGTGTGTGAGTGTATATGCTTGGCAATGCTTGCTTGCCTGCAAGAAATAGAGATCTATAGATGAGAGATAGAGAGGGGGAGGGGATCAACATGTGAGTGTGTCTGTGCATGAGAGAGAGAGAGAGAGAGAGAGAGAGAGAGAGAGAGAGAGAGAGAGAGAGAGAGAGAGAGAGAGAGAGGAAGGGGGGGGCAATGTGTGAGCCCCTGTAACAGGAACAGCAGCAGCACATTCAGCGGAACAGGAGTCATCAGGTCGAGCCGCATGTTCCCATCCCTACCGTCTTTCCCCGAACACAACGCACCCTCATCTTGGCTGTACCGGACTGGAAATATAGCTTGCATACGTTCAATTTCAGGGTGCCGCTGGGTGCGTTATGTTCGGGGGAAGACGGTAGCACCACGCGAGAGACATTGGCCCCGTGCAGCACCACCTGTGCGGCCCGATGCGAGAGTCACGGAGAGTGAGCGGCTGGAACTCCATAGACGATTATTGGAGAAGGGCGAGCTGGTACAGCAGATTGATGACGTCCACCACGCAAAGCAGCACAGCTTTTTGTACCCGGATACGGTGCAGCGATTGCCTTAGCAATGTCACCATGATGCTACACCGCGGAGCTGCATGTGTGGCCGTCATTCCCAATGACGTCTTGTACACTCCCTCAGCGGCCTTTCATCAGCACGCTCGGCCCAACCTGAAGTTGACGGTCCATGGGATGCTGTGGGTGCTCTCCACGGATCGGCAGTGGCACAGTGGGTAGGGGCGGGGGAAGGACAAAGCACCCATGAGTGGTGGATGGCAGGAAAGAGAGGTCGGAGACCCGGCATGAGGGCCTACGAACCACTCCACGACGGCCGCACCGTGCCATCGCCACAAGGTGCGCTCCACCAATGTCGTGTTCATGTTGGCATATCCCGGCCCACACTGCTCCATGCCCCGCAAGTGACCGTTGCTGAGCGGAAGCCTCCCCCATGGGTCCCGCATAGTTTCTACGTTGGCGATCTGAAACCTGCCCATCCAGTGGTGGTCAAAACCGCTAATCAACGGGAAGACGATGCCCACTTTGCCACAGCCTTCCAACTACCCCGCCTAGTATGCTCCTGCTGGCGGAGGCCCAACCGCCTGTCAAAGACCAAGCGTTTTCAAGAGTTGCCTTCAAGATTGCGTGATTCTCCTTGGGTGCACTACCGCCCAAACAATGTGGTTGGCCGTCAGGCATAAGGCCTGACCACGACCTCGAGCGCCGACAGGCGGTATCACGAAAACCCCAACGCTGCAGGCTGGGCAAAAGCATCATTTCGAAAAGGCCCTGGAATACAGCCTTCTGACAGCTCTCGAAGAGATCCAAGGGGTCTTTTTTGGTGAGGCTGTGTGGCAGTGGCCAACTCTCGAGTTTTTGAGATTCGAGAGTGGTATGGCGAGGCCCCAAAAACCTCGCGAACAATGCGAACAGGGGGTAAACTGTAGACCGTCCAATTGTTTTTCTGACATCTGTAGAAACTCTAAGAGTTTCGACAGCCTGTGTGGCGAGCGAGGCCTCACTCATGAAAAGTCTAGAGTCTAGAGTAGTCAAGCGAGGCCCATAATCCCTCTAACATTTTCCCATCAGGTTGATGTTATCAAGTATTGGAACATAGCGACAATCCGAAAGCGACATACACGAGAAATAACGGGATCATCGCACGGACTATTCGTCGACAACGAAGTGACTAGTCGGTTCCGGTGTAATGAGGATGCCCAGCACATTTCATCACATGAGCATACGGTCCAGCGGAGAAGTTCTCGCCACTTTAGACTTTCAATTTCATGGCACTGATGGCAGTAAGTCACAACGGGACGAGCACAACGACATTCACTAGATGCCTGCAGCAGCAATGGGAAGTTTGTAGGACTCCCGGACTCATAGCCAGGCTAGTGTAGTCCCCCGTACGTCATACGGACGGTCCACATACGGTCCATCCATACGGACGGACGGACTATTCGCCGACAACGAAGTGACTAGTCGGTTCCCGTGTAACGAGGACACGCGACACATTTCATCACATGAGCATACGGGCCAGCAGAGTTCTTGCCACTTTAGACTTTCAAGTTTATGGCAGTAATGCCATTCGAGTCGCAACGGGATGAGCACAATGGCATTCACTGGATACCTGTAGCATCAACGGGAAGTTTGTATGACGCCCGGACTCGTAGCCAGGCTAGTCTAGTCCCCCATACGTCGTACAGAAGGTCCACGTATGGTCCGTCCATGCAGACAGACGGACAGGCGTACATCTGTACAAAGGTGGTTCTGGGGCCAAGAAAAATGCAAAAACAATAAATAAAAAATGGGGTTGTAGAGCTTGAAAAGATCTACAACTCCATATTTTTGCTTTTAATTTCTGGCCTCCACTACCTTTCACAGGTGAACGCAAAGTCCATCTAGTAGCCTACTCCTTAAAACACGGGGCACGGGGCAGGGTTGGAGGCCGACGAAATAAAAACAGAAGAAAAGAAGAAGATAGAAGACAAACAGATAGTTTCAAATCCTGGGATGTCAGGGAAGGCCCTCAACAGGGTGGAGGTTGCAGAGGCCACTATGTGGGGAATGTATGTGGCTACTATGTGGGGAACGAGTTTGCTTTTTTGTTTTGTTTTGATTTTGTTCCCATGTCCTTTTAGTGTCCTGCCAGCAAGGCAGGTTGTATTTCACAGGTGGCACATAACTGTCTAAATGCTGTAGCATCCTGTAGCAGCCTCTAGCATCCTCTGTCCGCCCTCAATCCTTTGTTTGTCCCCCACACTTCCTCACTGAGCAACTCATAGAATGTATCTGGTGGTTATAGAGGCGTTCGGGATCATGTTTGTTTTTTGTTCTTTTATGAAACTGGCCCCGCTCTGCAAAACTCGGTGCGCTGTGAAAGTCAGGCTCCGCAAAAATAGGATCTGAGGTAGTGGTGGTTAAAAATTTAAATAGATTGTAAGAAAATAAAAAACAGAAAAAAAATGAGCAAAACAAAAGAAGTAAAAAAAGAATCTGGTAGCGAATTCTTTTCTCTGGATGCGGGGTGTCCTGCTGTGTGTGTGTGTGTTGTCATAATCCCTATAGAGAGGGAGAGGGGACCAAC